AATTACTTTTTTAAGTTTACATACTAAAAATGACTCATTTAATGAAATAGATGGGACTTCCCCCAGTGCATCTGTGTATCTTTAGACCAATACTACTCACTGCAGAAATGAAAACAGCGTTCCTTATCATTGCTATTTCTAACTTTTTTGTTTTTATGGTAGATAGGTATGTGGAAACCTCAGTAGTCTTTATGACAGCAAATTAAAAATAGTAGAAATTCTTTAACAGTTTGGGAATAGAAGATTTATTACAATGTTAATTCTTAATTATTTTTCATTCATTAAATAACCAAAAGTCACATAGGATTATATCATCAGAAATTATTTGTGATGATTATCAGCTATCAGTGTAATTTTACAAGAGCTAAAAATTGGGGGTTTTATTAGAGGCATTCACGTTTATCACAGACCATCATTTTTTTTGCCTCCTTACCCCTCCAGGTGTTTAATTCCAGAGCAGTGCACCACATTAAGGTTTAGATGGTTGGGAGATATACCTGTCTTTTACATTACAGTGATCTCACCTTGGGAAATGGGCAAATACAGTAGAATTATGAAAGGAGAGTTGGAAAGGAAAATTGGTGTGATTTCTAGGAATCAGCCCAAAGCTTTGGCCATGAGGTCATTCTCAGAAAGAATTCAGATGGAAATTGAGAGGCTGCAATCAACTCCCTTAAAACCCTTTTCCCACTTTTCTTGTTAAGTCAGCTCAGAAATACATGTACCCAAATTGGAAGATCACCCTGTGTATACAACACTATAAAGAATATTTGCATATTTCCCTAGGTATATATCCTCAGGATAAATTCCTAGTTAGAACGAAGGGTTAAAAAGTACGCATATTTCAACAGTGGTACCAAAAATGCCAGCTTGTCATTGTTGACAGACAATGCCAGAGAGTCATTCACAACCTGTTTCCCACACACTCACTTCACTGGAATTGTCTTTTTTTGTCAGTCTGCTTGAATTTTTATTATTACCGGTGAACTCTTAAAATTTGTTTTTCATTTGTATTTCTTCATATTACATCTTTTTATTAGAGTAGCCAATCTTTGTTTTTAGTTCTTTCTACATAGAAATTTGTTCATGCTTTGTCAACTGTGTTACAGCATCCTTCACCACCTCCACCCCAGTTTATTTTTTCAACCTCGTTTATAATTTGTTTCGCCACACAGACATTTGTTTGTTTCTTTCTTTCTTTTAGTAGTTTGATCTAACAAATTTTTAGGTAGTTTCAAGTTATGCTTACACAATTTTATGAATTTCTTGTTCTTTCCCCAGATTACATGAAAGTTCTTTCATACTTTATTTCTGTTAGCTTTGAAGTTTCTTCAAGTATGCTGAGACTTATTTTTATGTATAAGAGGCTGCATGATTAGGTAATACAGTAAATAAGATTATTGAAAAGAATGGCTTCTTAACATTTTGGGGAACATAAAAAGATATAACAACTACCCACCTAGTAGAGAATTGGCATCTTTCCCATATTCTCTTTTCAATCTTTTTGTTTTGTTTTTGTGGGGGTTTTTAAGATTTTATTTATTTATTTTTAGAGAGGGAATGGAGGGAGAAAGAGAGAGAGAAACATCAATGTGTGGTTGCTCGGGGGTCATGGCCTGCAACCCAGGCATGTACCCTGACTGGGAATCGAACCTGCGACACGTGGGTTCGCAGCCCGCGCTCAATCCATTGAGCTTCACCAGCCAGGGTTTCAGTCGTTTTTTAATAAAAGATTAAAATAGTGCAAGTGCCCTTTCACTGCCACCTCAGGCCCATTCTGTTCGCATTTTCCTCTGCATCGCAGAGGCATATACCCTTATTAGCTCAGGTGCCCTTCAGTTCTTCATTAAATGATAGCATTCTGTATAAAACTAGCTGCAACCTGCTTTTTCATATCTGTTTTTAACTGATTTTAAACTTTTATACTTGTTCTTGTGTGTAGATTTTGGATTTTTTTTATAGTATTCCATCATATGAATGCAGATTATTGTATGTACCCTTTACCCAGTAAACGAACATTTAGATTGCATATGATTTTTTGCTGTTGTAAAGTGTCCTGGTGAACATGCTTGTGTGAGTGCCCTTGAGCATAGGTGAGAGATTCTAAAGGGTTTGTGTGCCCAGAAGTCAAGTTGTTAGGTCATAGAACAGAGGTATTTTCAGTTTAGTTAGATGCTAGCAAATGACCCTGTAATTGGTTGAAACAGTTGCCACTCCCACCAGCAATGTTGATTTTTGCATATCTGATGAGTGAAAAGTACTTCAGTGTTGTTCTAATGTATATTTTCTTGACTCTGGTGAAGCTAAGCTCCTCTTTATATGTTTACTGGCCAGTTGGAGTTCCTCTTCTGTGAATTTCATGTTCAAATCATTTGCTCATTTTCCTGTTGCATCATGGTTCCCTTACTAATTTGTAAGGGGTCATCATTTCTTCTGAATACTGCTTCATTACTATATACGTTCCAGGTGTCTTCCTCCTCTGTATTTTGTCTTCCAACTTGTGTCTGTTGCCACTCCAAAATTTTTAGTTTTGAGATAATCAAATGTTTGGTTTTCTGTGAGTAGTTTTTGGGTTTTTTTAGGGTCATGTGGTTCATGATTTTAAAGTCATCTTTAAGAAATTCTTCCCTAACCTGTGGTCATAAAGATATCCATCTATATTTTCTTTTTCTAAGATTTTATCCATTCATTTTTAGAGAGGGGAAAGGAGGGAGAAAGGGAAAGAAACATCAGTGTGTGGTTGCCTCTCAAGCACCCCCTACTGGTGACCTGGTCTGCAACCCAGGCATGTGCCCTGACTGGGAATTGAACCGGTGCTCCATCTACTGAGCCACATCAGCCATATCTTTAATATCTTTAAAACTTTGTTTTTCCTATTTAGATATTTAATACATCTGGATTGTGTGTAAAGTATGAGGTAGTGATCTAATTTTTTCCCCTCATGTGAAAAGCCTGTCCTCAATACTTTGTGCAGTTCAGAATATCGAACATGTGTGCCTATAGACTGGTAGACACTCTGTGATATAAATGCCACAGTAGAGTGCTTTGTTTCTTCCTGACCATTGACACTCATGGTACACGGTGAGTTGACTGTCTGTCAGGGGTGTCCAACCTTTTGGCGATTCTAGGCCACACTGGGAGAAGAGTTGTCTTGGACCACACATTAAATACATTCCGACACATAATCACAAAGAAATCTCAATGTTTTAAGTAAATTTATAATTTTGTGTTGGGCCACATTCATAGCCATCCTGGGCCTGTGGGTTGGACACCTCTGGTAGATGATTGATGCCCTGCTTTGAAAAGTTTGATTTTGAGAGCACAAGTTTTTATTTGCATACTTAATATGCTTGCTTTAGAAAATTTAGAAAGTATAGTTAAGTGAAGTGAAATAAAGACCATTTATACTTACTCCATTCTAAAGCATTAACTACTATTTAGATTTTGGAGGTAAAGTCTTTCCATCTTTTTGCATCAGTATAATAATTTAACACTTACTGAGTACTTTCTGCGTGCCAGATACTATTTTATTTGCTTTATATGTATTTTTGTAATCTTCACTATAATTCTAAGGGCATAGTATTAGCGCCCTGATTTTACGGATAAGGAAAATAAGGCACCAAATACAGGAGTGGTCAAAAGTAGCTTTACAGTTGTAATACAAGTAAATAATACAATAAATAATAATACAAGAATGAACTCTTTCTGCACACAACCATAAATGTACTTTCACCCACCCCTGTATATATAATTGGTGGATTTCTTCCCATGAGAACATTTGTTTTTAATTTTTATTTTATTTTTTTAAGATTTTATTTATTTTTAGAGAGAGGGGAAGGGAAAGAGAGGGAGAGAAACATCAGTGTGTGGTTGCCTCTCGCGTGGCCCCCACTGGGGACCTGGCCCACAGCCCAGGCATGTGCCCTGACTGGGAATCAAACCAGCAACCCTTTGGTTCGTAGCCTGTGCTCCATCCACCGAGCCATGGCTAATTTTTATTTTTTTATGAAAATATTATTCATATGGGTTTATAAACTGCTTTTTTCATGTTATTAATTATTCTGTGCATAACTAGTGTTCATAATATACTTAATCAAATCACAAGTTTTGGACATACTTACACTATTGTAAGGTATATGTGAGTATTCGTTTAGCAAAATTTCTACGCACCTCTTTGTCCTTCTGATCTTCCTTTAAACAATTTGTTGATCAGAAATTGGTGTCTTGTTTTAATTTCCATCTTTGGATTACCTATTGATATTGAAAATTTTTATCTATTCATGCTATTTTTTCTCTTTCATATAGTGCTTGTATCTATTGTTCATCTTTATTGATTTGTAAGTTCTTGCTAAGCATAGCAAGCCTTTTTCATAAGTAAACCATGTGGTGATGTGCTTAGAAAACTCCTTCCCACCCCAGTATTATATAAATATTCGCTACTTCTTATACTTTGACTCCATAATATTTAATTCTGTAGTTCATTCGGAATTGAGTGGGGAGCAAGGGTATGATGTGAGGAAAGAAACTAACTTCTCCCTAACCCCCCAAAATTACTTACTTGACACAATACCAGTTATTGAAAAAAATCCTTCCTTTCTACTATTGATTTGAAATGCAACCTCTTATACAAAATCACTTAAATATTTCTCAATTTTCTTGTTTCATCAATCTATTTGTTTAGACGCCAGAACAAAAAGTATTAACTGATCTGTATGTGGTTTTAATTAGTAACCCTTATTTCTAAAACTGTATTAAAATTATGTCACTCTAGCATCTTGTCTACATTTTAAAAGACTTTGGACTGGGCTTATGTTTAATAGATCATGTTCCATATACTGTGTACTTTTTTATATCTAGCCTAATTACTTAATTCAAAACAAGTGACCAATTACAGTGGGAAGAGTTTCTGTGAGTAATTAACGAGAAGTGATGTTATGGATTTTGTGGTGAAGTGAAGCTTATTTTATTTATGTGGGGTTTTGTTTCTTCCCCTCCTCTAGGTAGCCTTTCCAGTAAATACATGACTCAGGGAAAAGCCTTGGCGAAGAGGACCCAGCAGGAATCATGAGGGAAGGAAAATGCAGCGCTCTATAAGGCCACTCAGGCGTTCCTAATCACTTGGAAAATTAGGTTCATTTCACAGGACACAGCAGCATAGATCAAGCTTCAACTTAACATTGAAGGAAAATGTCAGATTTGTTTTTTAATGAATGAAATTCTTAATAAGGAAAAAAATTTTAATGTAGTCTTACCTACCACAAATCCTCATAGACTTAACGATTTTAATAGAAAGCCATGATGTTATGTATTTGAGCCAGGTTTAAAAAAACGGTGTTACTATGGGCCAGTATTCAGTGAATACAATTTCATGGTTTTTAATTTTCAATTCACACTAAAATGGTGTGTTGATAAACCCCGAGTAAATTAATCCTTTCTTTCCTATACATCTCCCCCTTTTTTTTTGTTTTGAAGAGGGGAAGTTATATTTATTGTTTACTGAATCCTCATGGGAAAGCGTGTCAAATATGTGTGAACTGCTACTACTGTATGTACAATTTACAAACCTTGTTTTATTGATATTTGTAGAAGTGATAACATGAACATGATTACCCGTTTATGTGAGTCTTCCATGGATGAGCAGTGTCAGTGAGGGGATTTGGGTCTTTCCCTCTCTAATTTTAATGAAGTTGACATATCACTATTATGCTCATAAAAATGAAGTGAGGAAAACAAGTAGTCCTGTTTGCTGCTAAAAAACCTTTTCAATGGAAAAATGATAAATAAAAGTGCTTTTTACTTTTTACGATACTCAGAAAGTAGGGTGGAGAACTTCAAAAACTCCGTGGAGATTAAAGAGGCTGTCTCTGCCAATCACAGGTTTGGTTGGTGTCATTTTGGGTCTGACTGGAACCCCTGGGGAACTGGTGTGTAACGTCACAAGCCCTGCGGAAGTCGTACATGGTCAGAACTATGCTTCGGTTTGATTCTGAAATAAAAACCGAATCTCTGTCATTTTATCCACATCCCTTTCTAGTGAGAGTCCTGAATTTGACGAGGAAACTAGATCAAGGAGGAAGGGCCGTCCAGATCCACTCTTTATCTCGTGCTCCCTTGCCTGTGCTCATTGACACCCGCTGGGTGACCAACACTGGGAATGCACAAATCGGCCCAGACTCGGGGGGACAAATACGTTGGAGAGAGAGGCAGAGGGTGCTTGCTGGGCAAGCATTTCCAGATAGAAGAGACCTCCAAGAGTGCACACCTGGGGCCCTTCTACACACACTACCGAAAAAGATGCTCCCGCTAAAGAAGAATCATGTAAAAACTAACTTTAGAATCAGAAGCTGTTGTAGAAAGAATCAGGGGTCACTGTTGAAGTAAGTGAACTGTGTGGCCTGGTCCGAAACTCTTGCTTTACACGACTTACCTCAGCTGCTGCTCTTGCCTTCATGCGTGAAAGTGAACTTGCCTGGGCATACAGTTCTTGTCACACGTCCTGGGGAAAGCTGTTGGTGCTGTTGTCTTCTGGCATTAGAGCAGAAGTCTGAGGCCAGCCTAGTTTTTGTTCCTCTGTAGATTTTATTTTTCTGCGTGGATGATTCTGTGTGTGTTTATCTCTAACTTTTGTGACAGTGACTTTCGTCTGGAACAAATTGCATCCAATGTACCTCCCTCTTGATTTTTTTTTCCAAAAATACTTTTGTCTTAATATTCCTCTCATCATTTTCCTTCATTCTAGGAAAACTTCTCAAATTTCATCTCCACGTGACTGGCTTTATTTTTAGTGTCATTCTGCTGTTCGCTGTTTCAGACATAAATTATGTCACTTGACATCTAATTTTCTTGACCTTACTTTACCCACCTTCCTTTTCCTCTCATTTTAGTATTTTTTATTGTCTTTTCATAGAAACCATGTTTTCTTACATACTTTTAAGGATGTTAAAACTTTCTTACATTCTATTCTGATTTCCAAAGTAGATTCTGCCCAGTGTATTATGCCTTTTGGTTTTGGTCCCTCACACTGGGTCAGTGGGACCGTGACCAGTATTTGCCAACAGACCTAGAGAATGGATTGCCCTTGGTTCTGTGCTCCCTTTAACTGGACGCGGGTCACAGCCCCTTCTCAGTGCCTCCTGGGGACAGACACATCTCCATGCATGTCCAGCTCCCAGGGCACAGCTATCTCTTCAGTGCAGCTGGTTATCTCTCAGCATGTTCTGCAAACACCCCACTGCCGGGGTTCTTTTCTCTTTCTCTCAGAAACAAATACATGAAATCCATTTTTATAGACCAAATCAATACTAATCGGTGCTCAGTGTGTACAGTATCAACAGTGTACACACTTGATTTTTTATTTAAATGTTCTGAGAAGTCATCAGTTTACTTTTTCATCTTAAAATGTGTTTCGTCAGTAGTGCTATTTTTTAAACTTTTTCCTCAAGTAGAAAAATGTGCAGGTAGATGGGTCAAAAGGGTTCATAGTGCTACAGGCCAAAAAAAAAAAAAGGTTGAAAAGCAAAAATAGACCTTAACAACTCCCCCTCCCCATAAAAATGTGAAGATGTCCCCCATGCTTTTTTCTTCCAAAGCTGGTGTGTATGGACAGCAGTCGAGGCTAGCAGACATCACTGTGAAATTCTAGACTTAATGGGGGTCTGGCTCTGCCAGTTTTCCAGCTGAAAGTGTGGCCCTCCTCCTAACCTGTTGGCAGTCCTGTTTCTTTACCTATACAGTGAAAACATACGTGCTCTTGCACAGCATAGTGAGGATCAAGCGAGGTCTTATTAGGAAAAGATGTTTTAAAATGTCTAGAACCCTGAAACTAATCCCCGGTGCAGTATTGAACATTTCCCTGATAGAAAGTTTTTAACCTATTAGTGAAAATCTAAAAATGGTTGCAGCTTGCAATCCTCTTCAACAGTTCCACCCCCACTTCACTTTGACACCACACAACAGCTGCTGCTCTGAGATAAAGGAGTACACATTTTTAAAGATTTTATTTATTTATTTTTAGAGAGGGAGGGAGGGGGAGAGAAAGGAAGAGAAGCAGTGATAGGTTGCCTCTTGCACACCCCCAAGTGGGGGTGTGGCCAGCAACCCAGGCATGTGCCCTGACTGGGAATGCAACCAGTGACCTTTGGGTTCTCAGGGTGGTGCTCAATCCACTGAGCTACAGCAGCTAGGGCTGCACCTACTTCTCATAGTCATGAAAACTTCTAACACCAGTTTAAAGGAACTGGGCCAGTTTCGAATAACATTAGGTATTACTGAACCACTGATAAGTAGATTTTGTGATTTAGCACTTAATAGGCAAAACACCTAACCAAGTTAAAAACTGAGTAGTGTGAATTAAAGGAAAGAAGGCTGTTAAATATACACCAGATACACTAAATCAGAAAGAGAACTACATTCTTAAAGTAGCGTCTGGTGATTTATATTAAAAGGCTTGAGTTTAAAGCATCCATTCAAACAGCTGCACTAACATTCCTGTCCTATACAGCTCAAGAGTTGTGAGGCTGCTATGACTCGGTGTGGTTGCCCCTTCTCTTGAAAGCTGTAAAGTGCTACACAACCGTGTGATATTTCAACAATTGATAAAAAATGGTAACGGGTTTTTTTTTTTTTACATTTTGATTAACTTTACTTTTTAGAGCAGCAATGTGGGTTCACAGCAAAATTGAGCAGAAAATACAGAATTTCATTAGGCCCCCCACAAGCCAACTTCCCCCACTATCCACATCCTGCACCAGGGCGAGGCATTCGCTACAATCCGTGAACCGATAGGGACACACCATCATCACCCAAAGTCCATGCAAAGGTTACATTAGGATCCACTTTCGGTGTGGCACATTCTATGGGTTTGGACAAATACATAATGGTATGTATGCACCATTGTGTTATACGGAGTAGTTTCAAGATGTGTGGCATCTTTAAATATCCATGAATAGCAGCAAAGTTTATTGAGCACTACCATGTGCCATGTACTCTTCTAAGGGCTTTTCATTTAATCTTCACAATATCTGTAGGAGGAAGGACATGAGAAGTAAAATACTTTGTCCCTAAATCACCCAACTATTGTCTCCCACCACACTGCTGTCTCCTAATCCCAGTTCCTCCTGTGTGCTTTGGAGCTTAGGGGAAAAAACAACTTACATCTCCTAATTGCCAATGCAATTGCATTTCATTAGGAAGGAACTACTTAATGGGATGTTGAACTACACAATCCTGTAGGTTCTGGGGCATTAAAGATAAACTGGGCTCCAAAACACCGCACCCATTAGTTCTTTACACATAAAAACGCTGAGCAAGAATCTATCCTCCCAGCACCACGCCACAGAACATTTTCCCCTTTACCTCTAGCACTTCCACGAGCAATACCCATCTATCCTGATGATCTCCCATATGCTAACCTCCTGCTGCACGTCCATCCAACCAGGATTTCTTGTTCCTCCGTAGGTCCTCCGTTTACCAGGCTTCCTGTGTGTGTTCAGATATAGAGCCTGGTGCTCAGGAATATTTGCTGAGTTAACGGAATTAAAAGGCAGAGCCCCTGAGCTGCCACAACAAGGTCTGACAATAGGTATTCAATCAAGCTTGGGTCTCACTATAAATTTTAAGTATCCACAGAGCTGCCCAAGCACATCTTAATGTAGTGTAGGGTTCCAACAACGACACCTAAAGAGAACAATTGCCTTAGTACCATCCTTCAACATCCCAAGCAGTCCAGGACGCTGGTTGGGGGGCTCTTTACTTATTGTACGATTCAGCGGTAATTGTGCGCTCTTAAGAACTGCCCAGCTGGACCAAAAAAGAAGACAACTATCTGTAGCTGTCCGGGACTCCGACGCTTTCTGCCTTCCCAGAGCACAAGCTCCCGTGCGGGGTTGACTACTCAGCGTTAAGTGGTGGAGGTGTACCTTGCCCAGGGGGCAGAGCCTGGAGCGACGCTCCTGGGAGCCCACAAGTCCGAAGGCATTTCGCATGACCCACCCCGCTCCGGACGGACGTCGCGCCGAGAGCGCCCTTGCCTCAACGACCTTGGTCCCGGGCCCCTAAGCTGCAAACAGGAGCCCACAGCCCGCGCCCCGCCCTCCACCCGTCAGTCACACGGCCTGCCCAATGGCGGACCGTGCGGGGCGGGGCCTGAGGTTCCCTGCGCCGGAGCTTGTGGCGTCAATGCGCTGCTGTGTCCATGGAGAGAAGCTGAGGCTTCTGAGCTCCGGCCCAAGGCACCTGGGCGCCGGACGGTGAGAATGTCGGCTTCGTTAGTCCGGGCCACTGTCCGGGCTGTGAGCAAGAGGAAGCTGCAGGCCACTCGGGCCGCCCTCACTCTGGTGAGTGAACGCTGCGCGCGGCCTAGCTCTTGACATTGGTTCACCTCCATTCTGCTAGGGGAGGTCACGGCGTTAGGACGCGGCACAGCCGAGCAGCGGGGCCTGCGCCCAGTCCGTAGCTTTACGCCCTTACAACCCCCGAACCCCCATCCCTGCTAGGAAAATAAATCCGGTAGGGGCTGCCCCCGCGATCCAGCGCCACGGGGACTACGTTTCCCATCAGGCCGCGCGCGCCGTGTGCCGGGAGGGGTAGTGTGCGTGTGCCCCGCACAAGTCTCCCTGGAGCCCAGGACACACCTGGGGAGGCTTAGGGAAGCGGTGGTTGAGGTCGCAGGTTTGAGGTCGTTGGCCCCTAGCGCGGGGCATAGCTGGGTGAATAAACCAGATTTACCTTTGAGGTCCTTGGGGAGGACGGGGGCTTGCCTACGGACCACAGCGTAAGTGCGGTGATTGGCAGTGAGAGCACGTACCCAACAAAGCCCACCCCCTTGCTGAGGTGAAGGCTGCTGGGCATTAAGGGTTACTTCCTGGTGTTGGAGTTAGCGGAGGCTTTTTGGAACATCCTCTGTGCCTGCGGTTTTCTAGGCCTCTGTCAGCTCTTCAAAGAACAAAGGATAAAGTTGTCTATCCTGAATTTGTTTTTACACCGTTTTCTGGGTGAGAGGTCTAACACACTCAGAGGACACCAGAGTATAAACGCAGATACTTAAAGAATTTAGCGCTCATACTAGACCTCTGACGCACTATGCAATGTGTCTTTTATTTTTAACCGAGGGAAAATTCATGTAAATTTAATCATTTTAAAGTGTTCAGTTAAGGGGCATTTAGTATATTTGCAACATTGTGCAACCATCACTTCTATTTAGTTCCAAAACATGTCATCCCAAAAGAAAATCATGTATTTATTAAACAGTCACTTGTTTTTGCAGTTTGTAAAGATTAATTTCATTGGAAAGCTTATGGTCAGGTCAACGTTTTTTACAAACACACACACACCCTTGATTAAGGAGACTTTGTGCAAGTATTTATCAGCTAGAGACTAGGAAAATAGGTTACTGTATTTAAATGGAATCATTGATTTCAGTCAGTGTAGTGCCATAAGCTGGAAAATTGTAGCAAAACAGAAGAAAGTCATGATCAGGTGGGAGAATTCTTTTTTACAATTAATTGATGTTTTAGGCCCATAAGAAGGTTATGCCGATTGTATAGGATGATATATTTTATATTTTTTATGTGCCACTAAGCATGTTTTCATGTTTGAAAGATAACTATCAGTTATTCAGATTTTCTGAAGTTTTAATATCACAAGAACTAGAGGACATGATTCACATTTTGTGTATCATTTTAATCTCAATATAAATTATTCAGGATTGAAAAGAATTCTACCACTAGTAATGGTAGAACCAATAAGTGCAGAGACACTTTTTTGCTTTTTTTTCTCTCCACCATTTGACATGTTACTGGTTTGTTTAAAATTTCTGAGTCATCCCCTTCCTCTCCATTCCACAGACTAAGAAATAAATGGTACATAGTTCCCACTCCCCAGGTCTCTGTCACCTCTAGGAATTAGTAGGAATAATAACACCGTCCACCTTCTAAAACCTGGGCACTCCTTACGGAACTCCTTGTGTTACCACTTACCAGGCCAGTTCTGCCACCAGCACTGCTTTATTGTCAGCCGTTGGTTCATGAGGGTTCCATGTTGCCTCTGATGAACTGTTGTGGTTAACTTGCAGGAGTCCATTACCTGAACTCATCCTACTTCACTGTCTGGCTAACTTCACTTTTATTTCCTGTGATCTGCATAGAATCTGGTGCCAGAGAAAAAGCACGTCCGTGCTGCCTTCTGCCAACAGCGTAGAGTAACAGGCTTGCAGTCGTTTTAATCCTAGCATGTTTCCTGCTCTTAAGACGCTGTGGCATGCATGTATTGCTGTTGATACTTAGTTTCCAAGTGTTTGTGCAAACATTTTTAACTCCCAACATGTTCTGTGAAGTGTAAAAGGAGTGCAGTTATCAAAGGGTAAAGAGGGGAAACAGATGAGAGCAAATGAAACTAGAGATAATTCAATGAAATGGGTAAGAAGAGCTCAATGCTACCTAGATACACAGGTTTTGACATCAGGAATTTGACCTGTTTGCAGCCTTTGAGAAGCGCTGGACCTGTGCAGTCTGCTGGAGCTCAGTGACAGGCTAGGAACAGGAGTTGGTGAAATTAAAATACGGTTCCATGTTGTCATTACCAAATTATCCTCATTAAGTGACGGTAACCAAGTAGGGAATTGGTGGTTTGCTAGAGAGAAAGACCAAAAAGACTGGTGACAGGCTGCTGTGACATTTTTTATTTTGAGAGGAGGGAAGGAAAAGAGAGAAACGTAGATTTGTTGTTCCACTTATTTATGTATTCAGTGGTTGATTCTTGTATGTGCCCTGACCAGGGATCAGACCCCTAGTTGGTTAGATCCCACTCTAACCAGCTAAGCTACCCAGCCAGGGCTCAAACAAGAAACACGTTAACCTTTTAATATGTAGGCGACAGTCACATACATATGCTGTGATTACACACACACAGGAATAGGAAAAGACAAAAGGAAAACAGCACCACAATGCCATCCACAGCTGTTAAAGAATCAGTTAAACAAAATACACCATAATTTGTTCATTGGCTGCTATTTACCATCTTTTAAACCTTAAAATGCTATATTTATAATGAAGTTAAAGTAGGTTGTAGTTGTTGGTACGTTTACTGTATATAATCATGGAGTTAACTTTGGGTTTTCATTTTATTTTCTTAAGCAGCAAGCAGTGAAAATTGCCTGGGTAATTACTTAAGGAAACAGTATCAAGGATGAAAAGTTTTCTGCTACAAGGACTAGAAACCCAATAGCATTGAATAAAAGTGTATTGCCATGAAGTAGATGAAAAATGCATCACCTATAGGACCTTTCCCAATAATTTTAACACCAAAAACAGACTGAAAATCTTTTTTTTTAAATTTTTTTATTAATTGATTTTAGAGAAAGAAGAAGGAAGAGAGAAATACTGATATGCTGCTCTACCCATTCATGCATTCTCTGGTTGACTCCTGCTTGCGCCTTGGTGGGGGGCCAAACCCACAACCCCCAGGACATGGGGACAACTATCTAGCCAACTGAGCAGGGCTGGCAATCCTTTTTTAAAAGGCTGAACTATCTCACTCAAAGATTGTTCTTTCATTTGAAAGCATATCTTATTCTGCAATACACATATTAGTAGATTACAAACTATCATATACCATTGAGTTTTAAGAATCTCTTTAAGAAGAACTCTTAAGAATCTCTTAATTCACTGGCCAAATCTCAGGTGACTTAAAGTCATTAATTACACATATATTTCTTGGACAAGTATGGGTTTCTTCGCTGTTTGGGGAAATGCAGTGAAATGGAAAGGCTGGTAGGCTTGCAACATACTGTTTGGTGGAAGTTTTCATACTATTTCCCAGGTTGATTTTAAGTGCAAAGTTTCTGGAGTATGCAAATAGATTTAGAGCAAAGTAAGCATCTTAGCTTCTGCCTGGTCCCGAGACACACACAAAAAATACCTTTTTTAGCCAGAAGTTTTCTTTTAGTCCTAAACGTTCCCTGTTTAGTCATTCTGACTTGTTCTGAAAATCAGATCCATCACTTGGAAAGCATATAATCATATCTTTCCCCTTAACTGGGCTATCCATCATCAGCAACACTCCTCCCAAAGGAGTATATCTGGTATTTGCCTGACACAGGAAAATTCAGACATGCCTGGCTTCCTGTGTTTTCTACTAAGAGTTAAGAAAAGAAGGAAATACTATTTTGTGAAACTAAATTAGATCACTTAGAAAATCCCTTGCAGATCAAACCCTTGGGGCTTGCTGGCAGCACAGTGAGCACAGGCCCCTTGTGTTCTGAGTGCGTCACGCAGTGGTGCGCCCTCTACGCCTTTGACCCCCAGCTTCAAACCGAGGCCATGCCTTGGGTTGTACTTGCAAGGAATATTTTCCCATGTGACTTAGTGACTTAGTAGACTAAGTGACTTAGTAGAGATCTTTTGCTTTTTGACAATTGCATTAATTTCTTCAGGACTCATGTGGGAAATATGACCATGAAAATTATGGAAGCTAGTTTTCACTGGCAATCATTTAGAAGGGTAAATGAGCACTTAAAAGTTTGTATTCATATTTCTGTAACTATTTGAGGTTGGTGTGCTACAGATTCCAAAAACATAAAAGCCGTATTTGTTCTCTTCAGTATTTCCTTCTTTCTCCCCCTGCATACTATTTCTTGTCTTGTTGGGTTGCTTGCCTCCTGTTCTGATAAAATCATAAGAAAAGGCCTTCATGAACACCTACTGGTAGTGATTTATTTCATTTTTTTACGGTGATGCACAATAAGACATATATATATGCACACACACATACTCACCAAGTCAAAGTTTCACATTCATCTATATCAAGTGTGATGCATTGTTTTCTATTTTGTGTTATTTTCTATGTTTTAAAAATGCTAGTCTTGACTTTGTCATTTGGGTCCAGACTTTGCTTCAACACCCTCATCTGGCTGAGCCCCACCAGACAAAGCAGCAGAGCACACTCTGGTGCCGTCAGTTGGCTCAGCTCCCTTGGCACAGGCTTGGTTCTGGCTGCAGTTAGCACCCAGGCACAGGTTGTGGCATCCACTCTTTGGGGTATCACAAACGAGGAAAATGCCAATACAAAAAACTGGAGGACCAGCCCAGCATTGCCAGCTAGAGGAACTAATAAAGTAGGAAGGGCATGATTTCTTCATTGTAACAACAGCTGGCTTGTATTTGGCACTGTCCTAAATGCTCTTCGTGAATCCTGAGGAAGAGGGACGGTTATACCCATTTAAGCCAAGTGATGGCTGGGACACAGCTTGGAGGTGGACCCGGAATGCCCAGGAACAGCTCCATTTGGAACAGCCTCCATCTCAAGAAAGGTGTGGATGGAGCGCACCTGTACACATGCAGTACGTTGTGATGCTTTTCTTATTTTGAGGACAACTGAGCTAGGTTAAAAGCATTTCTCCCCATTATTGTTTAAAAGACTCCTCCCTGTTGTTGTTTCTGTCGATGACTAGCATAAATACCCTGAAGTACTGATTGAAACCAACTTTAGAGTCTGAACATTTGGTGGGACTGGGACAAGAGGCACGCTCTGGGTTATCTGTTGCGGGTAGCATTTCACCTAGGAATGTGGTCCGGTGGATTTGACATGGCTTGGGTAAGCAAAGGAGCAGTGGGGTTAATAATCAACAGGAAAAGGGCCTGAAGGTGGGCCATTTCAGTGAGGTACTTGATTCATTCCTTGGCTTATTGAGCACCTTCTGTGTGTCAGACAATTGTTTATTGCTGGGCATACAGTAGGAGCACAAAACAGATGCTGCCCAGAGAGATGACATTCGTGATGGAAGGAGGTAGTGACGTGGAGATTATGACAGGGAGTGAACATTCACTGAGGGGAGCAAGATGAAAAAGCTGTTGCTAGAAGATATTTTTAAAATAAAGAGAATGATTTTCTTAAGTAGAGTTCATATACTGTGTATAAAATCCACAAGGTATACAGGTGAGAATGAAACATAAATTCATCACATGAGTTTGCTAAAGGTAGACTTGCATAATCTCATAAGGCTTTGAAGAATGCAGATTTTAGAGCTAAAAGCTCAACATTTTCTTTTCCAGACACCTTCAGCAGTAAACAAGATAAAACAACTTCTTAAAGATAAGCCTGAACATGTAAGTAAAACCAATCAAATGGATTTTGTACTTGGCAAAAAAAAGTTGTATTTTCACAATGAATTTAGCTTGTGATAAACAGTATGCTTTCATTATTGAGGGGGTTTTGTTTTAAAAGTAAAATATGCTCATGGTTTTTTGTTTTTGTGTTTGTTTTATTTTTATAAGAGTTTATTTGAGCCAAACTGGTGACGTGTTCTGAGGAGCAGGATCGCAGATGCCCCCCCAGCTCAGACACTGCCCTGGGGCACTCCCTGGGAAGGAAGCCACGCTCTCACCCCAGCCCTTTTGTCGTCATTCTCCCTTCCAAGAGGCATCTTTTTAGTGCCCTTTTAGAGATAATCCATACATTTTATAGACCAGGATTTCTCAGCCTCAGCACCATTGATGTTTTGGGCTGTGTGACTCTGTTGGGGGTGGGTCGCTGGATGTTTAGCGTCATCTCTGGCCTCTGCCCATGACTCTGCTCCACCCCTTGGTTATGACAACCAAAAATATTTCCCTGAGGGGAACCACTGGTCTCTGCTTGTGCACGTGTCTCTTTTCCTGCTTGGGTAAGAGCATACCATACATGCTGTGGTTACACTTGGCTTTTTGCCCCTAGTAAAATAGCTTGAAGACCTTTTCATATCATTACATGAAGTCCACTCATTCTTTTTCATGGCTGCATGTAATAGTATACTCCATTGAACCAATGTGGTTTATTTAACCAGTCCCCCACATTACAGGTTTTTTTGTGTTGTTTTCATTCAGTGCTGCCAAAAACATCATTCATCAGATACTCAGTGTGTGCCATGGGCCAGGCCCATTGTGCTAGGCCTGTCAGCGTGGCTTAGTGCATCTACAAGGGCCACGTTCCTAGATGTGGGATTGCTGCGCAGGGGGTGTGCGCATCATGTCAATCCTCGTGCACTGCTGACTGCCTGAGGAAAACTGGGAATTACTTCCAAGACTATTAGCATTTAGTGATTAGACTACGAAGCGGTTCCTAGGTTCCATGTACAATCTCCCATTACAGTGGGAGTTCTGGCACCTTCCTTCTAAGAATTACTAAATGATAAAGTATGTCAGCATTCCAGCTCCATTTGGATAGACTAATTGACCAAATAAAGCAAAAATTTAGCTTTGTAGATATGACGGGTGTCTGTTTGTGCTGACATGAAAAGGACTGAGCGGGCACTGGATCGGGTGTCACTGTGACACCAGTGGTCCCTTCTCCACATCCCGCTGCCTGAAGCTGTGCCCTCACACAGTCTCAGTGCCTAGATCCATTCTCAGAGCTGGACTTCCGCTTGCTGATCTTCCTGCTTACAAAGATAAAAACTACATTAAATACTTAAGACTTGCACTCCAGAGTTTGAACAAGGCTATTTATTGTGTATTTGTCATGCTGAATATGTCAGACTCCCTCCTCAGCTCTCTGAGCTGCCACTCCGAAGGTGAATAGAACTGTAGTTCTGTCTTCCTGCAGTTGTTTAAGGACAGAAGAGACGACTCTGTGAATACTCCAGCTCGTGGAAACCCCCGGGCAGCTTCACATTTTAACTCACTCTCTTCACCAGTAGCTTCCCACTCCATGATTGCTTTGCTAAAGGAAGTGCACATTGCCGCTTTTCAGAGAATTGGGATCTGCTTGGTGGAATATTATCTTTTTATGATGATACTTTTGTTGCACACTTAAAAAGCAGATAGGATCCAAGAATAGAAATTCAGTAGACATTGTTAGAAAATTACATTAAGGTAGACAATTGGTATTTTAAAAGTGCTTTTTGGTTATTTTTTTTTTTAATTCTCATTGGACAATATGGTCATTGATTTTTAGGCAGAGAAACATCGATGTGAGAGAAAAACATCGATCAGGTGCCCTCCTCACGCTCCTTAACTGGGGATCGAACCCGCCACTTTTTTGGTGTGTGGGATGATGCTCCGAGCCACTCGGCCAGAGCTGTTTGGTCACTTGTTAAATTTCTTCCTTCTGTGTTGGCATCAGTCTGTGCTTTCTGGTGTTTGAGAATGTTTACACAGGTCTGCCCTAGAATTAAGGCCCGTGGAGAGGCAGCATGATTCCAGGCCCACGAACCTGGCGAACCTAACCTAGGGAAACTTTCTGAGAACCTCTCCCAGGGAGAGGTGGAGCAAAAATGCTTTTTTTTTTTTTTTGTGGAACTGACTTTTGAGCAAGTTCATTTTATTAGGTTGTCATCTCTGCCATCAGATGCTTTTCTTTTTTCTTAAAGATTTTATTTATTTTTTTAGAGAGGGAAGGTGGGGAGAAAGAGAGAGAGAGAGAAACATCAGTGTGCGGTTGCTGGGGGCTGTGGCCTGTAACCCAGGCATGTGCCCTGACTGGGAATTGAATCTGCGATGCTTTGGTTCGCAGCCCACGCTCAATCCACTGAGCTATGCTAGCCAGGGCTCTTTTTTCTTTTAAAGAAAGTGATCATTTAGCCTTGGCTGGTGTGGCTCAGTAGATTGAGTGCCAGCCTACAAACCTAAAGGTCACCGGTTCGATTCCCATTCAGGACACATGGTCCCTGGTTGGGGGTGTGCAGGAGTCAACTGATCAGTGTGTTTCTTGCACTTTGATTTTTCTTCCCTCTCTTTCTTCTTTCTCCTCTCTCAAAAAGTAAGTCAATAAAACCTTTTTAAAAAGTGATCATTTATTTTTTTGGATTAAAACTCTTTCCATAAAAGTGTTATTCCCAACCTAAATGGCTATTAGTTGGTTAAGTAATAACTATGCATTGGTATAATGGGATGTTATATAGGTATTACTTGTAATTACATGGAAAGATGATGTCTTAAGTGGAAAAAACAAAGAGGAAAAATTTTCTGCTATAATAAAAACTCTGTTTAGATGATATATATGAAAAGCCTGAAAGAAAATAGGAAAAAACATACAACCTGCGTTTTTAGGGTAGTAGTGACTATAGTTTGTTTTTTTCCCCTCTGTATTGTTTTCTTTGTACATAATTGGTTTTTATTGTTTTTGGGTCACCACTAGTGTCATAATGATGTTTGTACAATAGGTAAAATTTTAAAATGCTTGTTTCCTGCCCTGGCCCATGTGACTCAGTTGATTGGAACATCCTTCCATGCACCAAAAGGTCACGATTCGATTCCCGAACAGGGCAGTTTTCTAGGTTGTGGGGTCGATCCTTGGTCCAGGCGTGGGCACCTGTGACCCCCAGTCCAGGCCCGTGTAATCCCCAGTCCAGGCACATGCAGGAGGCAACCAGTCAATGCTTCTCTCTTGCATCGATGTTTCTCTCCCTTCCTCTCTCTAAAAGAAGTGAAAGAAAATGTCCTCAGGTGAGAATATAAAAGTAACAATAAAATGTCTGTTTCCCATTCCACTTCTGCTTCCTAAAGGGCCATTTTGTAGCCGGGAATCTAATATGTATCTTTGAGCTTCTGAATAAATGAATACTGTCATATAGTCAGGACTTTTTAAAATATGATTATTTAACCTGTGCTATTTTAAAACTCAGTTTATATTTACAATGATTTTTCAGGTAGGTGTGAAAGTTGGTGTCCGGACCAGAGGTTGTAATGGCCTGTCTTACACTCTAGAATATACAAAGACAAAAGGAGATTCTGATGAAGAAGTTGTTCAAGATGGTACGTTTTCTGGGCACTTTGTTTCACCTAAAATGTTCAAAGTGATGATGATGGTGGTAGGAATGTCACGTGCAGTGCTTACTCACTGTGAGGCGGGCACAGCTTGACATGATGGACTTTCCTGTAGTGACTGAGTTATAACAGCAGCCTAATGAGAATGGTACCATCCCCATTTTGCAGATAAGAGAAACTGAGGCATGGGAAGATGAAATAATTTGCATAAGGTCACAGAGCTACTAAGTGGCCTTGTGAATATTTGAACCCAATCGGATTTACTCCAGAGGCTGTGGTCTAGTAGATTATTGGATAAACTTGTTTGTTTCAGTTATGAAAGATTATCGTTGTCTGTTAAAAGTTTAAGATGATAAAACTTCAAGATGAACCAACTACTTCTGTGTGAAGTAGCAGTTTTATGTGTATGTCAAATGACATCATCTCATGCTCTTGAGGACTTTATATTTCCAATTTTAATTTCCAAATTAAAATTTTCAGTTCTTTATATTTGCCTCCCACTTCCTGCCCCTATGCAGCAATCTGATTAAAACATAATAAATTAATGCTACAACATTGAGGGAACTTCGTCATGCAAGGGTTTTGCGACGGCGGCTTTGTGCGCCGGAAGTGTGCTGTTGGTTAGCTTTCCTGGGTTCCTGGTATGAGTTCATTGTACTAAATTGAAGTTACTAACCAAGAAAGATTTGTGTTAATATTTTAGTTTTTAAATCAATACATAAATTTAAATCTTAAATTTTTCATCTTAAAGAAGAGATCTAATAAATACATATAGTTTATATTTAAGTAATGACTCAATTTCTTGAGGAAGAAAACGTTTTTAGATCGATTATATTTGTACGGATGCCAACTTCTGCCTGTATAATTACTATGAGATTATGCTATCACCAGTTTTCCAGTCCATACACAGAAGGACAGAACTGCTGTGTCGTCTTAAACCAGCCCACTGTCCCACTGTCCCACAGTCCTTTGTGTGTCTCCAGGTGTGGCAGTGTGTACAGGTGTCATTGCAGGGTTTTCATAAACATTACTGACTCCATTGTTACAAAACTCTCACTGTTTTCTTTATGTTGCAAATTGGGGAAATGGGTGAAATATAGTGAAAAGCAAATTGTAGTTTTACATAGTATTGTCATTGAATTTGCTTGTGTACAGCTTCCTAACCTAAGGTAATTGTTTTTGACATAGATTATTGTGTAGAAAGAGGGGACAGGAAACTGAGCATGGAATCCCTTAAAGGACATAATGAGACAAAAGATTCCTGTTGGGTCTTCGTTAGTGGTTACCATTTAAAGCTTACTCGTGCTCTGAATCAGCAGGTCCTGTTGGCATGCAGGCTTTATACGTGTGTTTTCTTCTCCCCAAGGAGTCAGAGTGTTCATCGAAAAGAAGGCTCAGCTGACACTTTTAGGAACAGAAATGGACTATGTCGAGGACAAACTATCCAGTGAGTTTGTGTTCAATAACCCGAACATCAAAGGAACATGTGGCTGTGGAGAAAGCTTTAACCTTTGACTCCTCCGGACTGCTGTGGCCGTGAGCCCCAGGAAAGCCCACGGAAGCCCCGGGCTTGCTGAAGAAATCGTGTGCCCGTCACGTGCTTAAGGTTCATACTGCATGGCTGCCTCCTGAGGACAATAAAGTGATGCATTTGGAAAATGAAGCCAGTGTGTTAGATTTCAGAGGTGATATTTGTATTCTTTTTAGGGGACAGAATGTAAGAAGCCATCATTCTTTTGGGGTCATTTTTCTGATCTGTACAGAAAAAAAAAAATCCTACCCTGCACTTACTTTTCGTGCACCCTTTCTGCTAGATCCAGTTTTACAGAAGGTGCCTGCCTGGGAGAATTCTGGCAAACATGTCTTAACAAGTGCGCATTCTGCAGCTCTCTGCTGAACAGCTGCAATGTGCAGCTCCAGCCAGGTTGATGGCTGTCGAATTCAGAGGCAGAAGGTCCTGACTGCTGGGTTGACATGGTGCTGCATCATTTTTCCGCACAAGCTTGGCACGACCTTGACCCAAAAGTTCATTGTGAAACGCCTCGTTCACTCACCCTGCAGCAGCATCAGATGCCAATAGATGGAGGTGTCAAAGATTTCCCTGAATGGTTTTGAGTGACGGCCTAAGAAATGCTCCGCCCACCATTTTTCATCCGTTTCCTTTGCTACCCTAGGTGTCTGCTCAAGGAGGGATCTCTAGCTTAGATGCTTTTATTTGAAAGGTCTCTGACAAGCCATGCAGCCCAGCCCCCTCAGTCCTGTACCTAAGGAAGTGAAGCTCCGGGGCAGGAGAAGGGCTGTGTCCTCCGCGCACTGCGGAGCCGCAGGGCTGGCGTGCAGCCTGGGCTCTGGGGTGGGCAGTGAAGGTAAATGACCGGGCTGTCTGGCTTCTCTGACTGACATGTTGGTGAGATTTCTGTGTCATTTGGTGGAGATCTCATTTTTTATTTTATTTTGAGTGGGAAAAATCTTATTTTAAAGCCCCTTTATGTGAATTGCCATGTTGTTTCTTCTGAAGTGTGCCGCAGTGGTTTATACGAGCAGGGGAGATACTATAGCAACCCAGAAGTTCCCTTTTGGAATGTGGTAGCAATTGTGCAGCAGCACACGGAGGTCTTTTCCCAAAATTCCCAATAAGCATACACTTTCTGAATCTTTAGTCCAGTTGCTAAAATTTTTAAATCTACTATTTTAACCTAACATTTTTAGCATCAGTTTTTCTTTTTAACAGTGTTCCTTTTGTAATGTGATTACTGAGTTTCCTAGGTTGGACATATTAAGTGTTTGATGAGATGCCATATGCTTTTTTGAAAGCCGAGTCTTATGAAGTGAAGCGGCCAAGTTCCTTGACGTGTGTTGTGTTTGCTGAGTAGCTGCCACCAACCGCACCAAAACCCAGAGCAGAGCAGTAGCTTTATGCTTATGAGTTTGTATTACTGAGATTTGTGCAATACTGAATGTGTGTAGTGATCGAGTTGTCAATAAAAAAAATGTGGCTTCTTTGTGATCATAAAACTGCCTTTTCTTTTTAAGGAAGAAGGGTGTGGGAACAGTAGCTATTACAGCTGCTGAGAAATACTCGCCCCACTCTTCTGACCACGCTCCCTGCTGTCAGAATTCTCTCCTCCCGACTCTGCCGCACTCCGTGTGTCCGCGGCTCTGGGCTGCAGCCTTTTCGTTGTTCCCTTTCTTCAGCCCCGTCTTTCGCCCTGCCTCCCTTTAAGGACCAGCCTTTTCCTTTAAGCCGCTTCTCCAGCCTCCCACAGATTGGTCCTTACACTGTCATGTGTCATCACCCCTACCTGGAACGCTTTGTCCGATCTGTCACCCAAGTTTTATGTTCATCTCCAAAAAGGTTCTTGATAGTTCACTTGAGGCACGTTCGTGTGAGCACCTGCTCTCCCCTCGCGTCGAGGTTTCACAGGTGACCAGAGACTGTCCCTGGCCTCAGAGATCTCGTGGCTGGCAAACGAGACAGACACACCAGTAAAGAATACACAGTAAGTGTTGCTAAGAGCTAACGTGGGTTGCCAACTTGCGACATGCCCGAACTGTTCTAATTAACATAATCTTCACAACACCCTGGGGAAGTCAGTCTGACTCCCGTCTCTCATGGAGGAGAGACCGAAGCTCAGCGCAGACAACACACTCGACTGAGGTAACACTCAAGCGGCCGAGTCGGTGACAACCCAGGCCGTCAGGCTCCAGCCTCGTGCTCCTGGCAGTGAGGCCACATGGCATGTTGCAATGAGAACCAAGATGGGGGTGCACTCTAGAGAGGTTTCTTAGAGGGTCTGACACCTGGGCCAAGTCTGAAAAGACATTAGAGACCTAAGAAATGATGAACAACGCTGAGGATTGAGAATACTTACCAAGAACGTGAGGCACAGAAGGCAGCAGATGGGAAGGACAAGGCAGGCCGGGGGCGCTGGGCTTTCTCCGGGTAATGCAGGTGTTGGCAGCCACTGAAGGGTTTTACAAGGGACTCATCAAACAAGTGCATTTGGAAGTGTCAGCCGGGCCGTTCTGTGGGACGTGGAGAAGGCTGCACAAGGAGGAGGCCTGGAGGAAACTGCTGCAAACCCCCAAGAAGGACGTGAGGGAGGGACCAGTGTGAGGAGGGACCAGTGTGAGAAAGGCTTACGTTACCTCAGCAGGACTCCATTAATGGACCGACCCAAAAGGGCTGTGATTTTGTGGCTTTTGGCTAATCACACTAGCAATACTTACACTGGCTTTTTGGTTTTGGTTTGTTTCTAGCACAATATTGGAAGACCCTTCACATGAGCCCTGTCATTTTCTCTATTCATTCAACACCAGGCACATCGTGTTTTGGCAAAATGATTCCTCCGGCCATTATCAGCCATATTGTGTTCTGTGTTCTATGCATCCGAGCTCCACCCCAGACAGGCCTGGGTGTCCTGCAAGAGGCCACTCCGTGGTGCCCATGTGTGGCACGGAGACCGTGAGCTTTGTGGAGGGAGCTTCATGCAGAGGCAGAGCCAGAGCCGATGGATCATCACGCTTAGAAGCCCGCTCCTCCAAGTCGAGATGCTCCTTGGCTGGCTCCCCCGGTGTGGCTAAAAGACACTGCGAAGAGTTTCTGGAGGGGGTGTGCCGTGCTGCACAGAGCGTGTTCCTGCACCTGTCTTGGGACCACAGAGTGTTTTGTTTTTTTCTAAACAAGGAAAGGGCGGAGCAGGGCCGGAAAAATCCCTGCAAGATCAGGTGTTCCTAAGAATTCTAATACTTCCTACATTCCACTCAGCAGGAAACACCTTTGAAACGCAGTCTTTCTTGTCTTGGTGCCTCAGAGATCAGAAAACGCAGACACCTGTGACGTTAAGCCACCGGGGCCTTCCCACGCTATCTAACAGCTGCAAGCACTGTGCAGCCTGCAGAGCTCTTCCGCGGTCACGTGTCCCATTCCTGCCTCAGAGCAGACAGACCTGGGCGGGAGAGATGACACCAACTGGGAGTAATACACGTGCAGCTGGCCAGGCACAGGGCATGGGACACTGCATGCAAAAGGGTAGCTCTGGGAGCAGACACGCCTGGATTTGAACCGTGGGTTCTGTCATTTTGTAGCCTGATGACCCGGCACAGGTTGGGACTTCTCCCAGCCTGTTTCCCTTCTTTAGAACAGTCTCAGAACTGGGGGAAACTGGATGAGTGACGAGCCCACGAACAGCATCCAGCTTAGATACGCCGAAGTTTACCCATGGATTGTCCATCAGAGCAAAAGTTTATGGAGATGAGAGTTCCACACAATTAGGGAATTATTCTCCCATGTTAAAATCTGGAGAAAATGTGCTGTGTTTCTTTCAAATGACCACATTACTTGTTTGAGGAAAAAATACTACAAATATAATCATACAGAAAAATTGTATTCTCTTTGTAGCTGATTAGAGAATTCCTGTGTGGAGAGAAACCTGCCGTATTTGAGGAGTGCTAGCCAAACCCACTTGGGCCCAGTGGGCCCCACCAGACCTCAGAGAGAAAGGGGGGCTGGAGGCCACCCAGCCCTCAACTTCCTTTGAGATGTGAAGCCTGTGGCGTGGATGAGCTCCACTCCCCACTGCCAGCTCTCCTGCAAAAGCTCTGTTGAGTGCTGAGATTCTCAGGATTCTTACCAATGGTGAGTTGGAATTCAGCCTCCCCCAAGGCAAGGCCTCTGAACCAGGAAAAGTTCCCAGCTTAAAACTCCTATTTCTTTGATAACTTTACAGTTGCAGGGGGTAACTTTACAGTTTCCCTTTCATAAAGGGGTAATTCCCAAACTGTTCACTATAAACTACCCACTTCAAGGTGTGAATGAGCCACCGGGGATCGTGTTACAGCAGACCTGATTCCGGAGGTCTGGGGTGGGCCTGTTTCCCGGGGCCGCAGGCCACCTCTGAGCACCAAGCTTGTAAAATACTCATCTCTGGGGGACCCTGACGGTGCTCGGTGATGGCTCGCGCCCTCAGTTGCTTTGCTGGCACATCCCTCGTGGTGTTCAGGGTTTCCGGTCAGCAGAAGACACCCCTGTTGCCACCCTGAGGTGACAGAGCTCGACGGCCAGGACAGTTCACCAGGCAGCTCTAACACTACACACTGAGTTCTGTTAGGCATCCTGAAAGGCTACACGCATCTCGGGACCCCCAGCCCCATTTCCACGCAGCAGCATCGTGGTAGCTGGGGGCCTGCTCGGCCACCACTCCTTCAGCCTGCAGACCCAGGCGACTTGGTGGGTTCACCAGTCACTTTTATCCCGATGCTCCCAAACCAGAGGCTTCTCAAATGGGGAGACTGAGTTTGACTTCTCAGGCGACAAAAGTCCGGAAGATGTCTTATGTGGCTCTTCCTTTGAAAAGCCACCTAAGGTGGCCCAGGGCCCTGCTTTTCTCAGGAGATATATTTTGTGATAAAATACATGTAGCATAAAATTCACCGTTTTAACCATTTTTCAGTGCACAGTTCAGTGGCATTAAGCATATGCGCATTGTTGTGCCACCCTCACCACCTTCCCGCTCCAGGACTTCTTCGTCACCCCAGACCGAAGCTCAGAGCCCGCTACACAGCAGTTCTCCCCTCCTCCCAGCCCCTGGCAGTACCACCCTACGCCCTGGCTCTGTGAGTTTGTCTACTCTGGCAAACCCCATACCCCACATATCCCAAATCTCACGTTTATCCTTTTGTGTCTAGTGAGGAGATATAGTTTTAATCTTCTTTATCAGCATGAGATGTGGCCGAAATACTGATTAGGTATGACTGTTGTTCTTTAAGCCACACTGATGGGGCAGGTTCAGCTCTGAACCTGCCATTTCATCATGAGCCTGCTGATGGGTTTTTACGAACAGTTGGGGGGCATTTTAAGAAAAGCACCAAAAGAGTGTACATTCCACTATAGATGAAACTCTTCATGAGGACCTGAGGGCAGAGCCATCACTAAGGGTAACAAAGTTAAATGCTCGGGACGTCTGCCACTCCTGTCAGACAGTTAGGTCAAGCAGACTAATTTTGTGCAGCAACAGACCTTTTATTATTCCTCGTTTTCCAGTATTCGAGCCACTCATTCATTCCATCAATCAACCAAAATGTGTTCCATGCCTCCACTGTGCTAGAACATTTTGAGGATTCCAGTTTTCACAAAAACCTGTAAGGTCCCTGGGTCTTACACACACAGGTGACTAAAATGAGTGCCACGTGTCGGGAGAGGTTGGCGTTTGTCCTCCAGGGAGCGAAGGCAGGCCGCAGGCAGCTGCTCCCAGGAGGGGGCGGCCCCACCTCCAGGGCACGCAGTGGAGAGAAGGGTGGCAGGGTGGCTCATCTGATATTTCAGAAGAGGTTCGTGTATGGTGAAAGGGGGGTGAGATCGATTTCTGCATGCTTACCAACTTGAGAAGCTGTAGTTCTTTGAAATTTCATTTTAGCAGGGAAACTTTTCAGGGTAGAGAAAGAGAACATTTATCAAACACGAAGCAACTTAGCCTTAAGTCAATTTGCAGAGGAGAAAACCCAGACTCTTTTAGGAAATGATGCCTCTTTACTCTCAATATAACAATTTTGTTTACATCTTAAACCCAAAAATACTCCAAAAGTTTAGATATTTTTCCTCCTCTTACAGGAAAACAACAAACATAATATCAAGTCTGCATTACAAAAAATAAGTGAGCTGAGGCACAGAAGGGATCCCCCCGGGCCACTCGAAAACCACGCCTGTCTCACTGCACGCCTGTCTCACTGCACACCAGTCCACAGTTATTCAACACCAAAACACCAACTCCGCGTGAAGTAATAGAAAATGTACACACTGGCCTCTGCCCCTGGTTCCTGGCACAGGGCTCCTAAATCCCTTGTAAACTCCTAAGTGACAAGAGCACTAGGAGCATCTCTAGTCTGTTGAGTCAACTCTGGGTGACTCCTGGACGGCTCCCAGGTAAGAGCTGGTCTCAAGAAAGACCAAGTCGTGAGTAGAAGCTTGGACTTTTCAGCCCTACCCCTTGTTTCTCCAGGGAAGGGAGAGGGGCTGG